GTCCTCTCTCAATGACAAGTTACCAGACGAGCAAAAACTACAAATGGAATTTTCCAGTGCGCAATGCTGGGAGATGTACTTCGACGGTGCTTCGTCAGTCAGACAAGACAAAGGATCAGGCACAATTATACTAGGAAAATCAGGGATCGATTTGATCTTTATCACGCCAGATAAGGGTATGTTGAGGTTCTCATACAAGCTAACAGTGTCGTGCACCAACAATGAAGTAGAATATGAAGCTTTAATCACCAAGTTGGAAGTGGCAATCTCAATGGATATAATGAACATTGTCATTTATAGCGACTCTAAACTCGTCATCCAGCAAGTCGCCGGACAATACAAAATTTTGAAACCAAGATTAGCAGAGTACCATCAGTACACAATGAAGCTGCTGGATCAGATTCTTGATGTGACTTTCTACCGGATTTCTAGGGGAGATAATGCCAATGCCGACGCTCTAACAAAACTTGCTAAGGAAATGGCATGTCCCCAAGAGGATTCCATTGAAATCACAATACAAGGAATATATGTCTTGTCTCAAATTGACCTCAACACTCTACACAAGCTCAGGAAAGAAGAAGCAATAAATACAGTTGCAAACATCAATGAAGATTGATGAAAGCCATTAATAGAATATTTTCATAGTGGAAAGCTGCTAGAAGTCAAGTCCGAAGCACATCATATCATAAGAAGAGACATGTCTTATGCCATGGTGGGAAACATTCTCTACAGAAGATCATTCGACCAGATGTGGCTACGATATTTGAACAAAGCCAAAGCACAGATAATTATCAAAGAAGTACATGCTGGACTGTGTGGCGCTCATCAGTCAGGGCCGCAAATGAAAATGAAGATCAAAAGACTCGGATATTATTGGCTAGCAATGATGTCTGATTGCATGGATATAACCAAAAAATGTCACCAATGCCAAGTGCATGGGGTGGTCTTACACCAGCCTCTGAATGTGCTACACCCAACTGTTACCTCGTGACCATTCGAGTGTTGGGGCATGGACATAATAGGTCCGATAGACCCTCCATCTTT